ACACAAAAATAGGTGGGAAAGCAAATGGTGAGGACAACACAAAAAGAGTCTGTGGTGGGATATGGACAGGTTAAGCAAGTGGGCAATAACCTGTCAGATGGAATAAAGTATGGGAAAATCTGAGGTTATATTCTTTGCCAGGAAAAAGGGGAGCTGAACATTATTTAAATAGGGATAGAGGCTGTAGAAAGCCACAGGACAGAGGGATTTCAAGTGCTTGTGCATAAATCACAAAAAACTACCAAGTTCAATGAGTAAGGCAAATGGAGTGTTCGCCTTTTTTCAAAGGAAATGGAGTATAAAAATAGGAAGGTCTTGCTAAAAGTCAGTCCATAACTGCAATACTGTGAACAGTGTTGGTCCTCTTATCTAAGGAAATATATACTGACACTGGAGGCAATCCAGAGTAAGCTCACGAGGCTGATCCCAGGTAAGCAGGGATTGTCTTATGAGGGCGATAAGAAACAGGAACAAGAGTAGGCCATTCGGCTCCTTGAACCTTCTCTGCCATACAATTGGATCATTGTTGATCTGACATTCCTCACATCCACATTCTTGACCTTTCCCCAAACGCTATTGATCTAGAATCTATCTCAGCACAAGGACTCTGCTCCCACAGCTTTCTATGGCAAGAAGTTCTAAAGGCACACACCCCTCAGAAGAAATTCCTCATCTTAAATTGGTGCTGCTTTATTCCAAGACTATGCCATCTGGTCCTAAATTCTCCCATGAGGGAAAACATCCTCTCAGCATTTACCTGCCAAGCCCCTTAAGAAACCTATATGTTTCGATGAGATGACCTCATACTTCTCAACTCCAATGAATAGAGCCCCAACCCTGTTTAATCTTTGCTCATGAGACAATCCCCCCATACCAAAGATCATCCTAGCGAACCTTCCCTGAATTGCCTTCGGTGCACTGATATCTTTTCTTAAATAAAAGGGACCAAAATTGCTCACAGTACTTCACATGTGATCTCACCTGCACTTGTAGAGTTGCAGTAAGACATTCCTACTCTATACTACAACCCACTTGAAATAAGGGACATCATTCCATTAGCCTTCCTGATTACCTGCCGCACCTGTGTGCTAGCTTTCTGTGTTTCACATATAAGTACCCCAAAGTGCAGGCAGATAGGACTGGTTCAGTTCAGGAAACTTGGTCAGCATGGTCGAATTGAGCTGAAGGGTCTGTTTAAGTATGACTCTTAAGTCCCTTTGTGTTGCAGCTTTCTGCAGTTTTTCTCCATTTATATATTTTATTTTTATTTTATCCCTTCCAAAATGAACAACTTTGAAGTTTTCCACATTATAATCCATTTGCTAAACTTTTACCCATTTACTTAACCTAACAACATCTCTCTGTAAACTGTTTGTATTCTTCACACAACCTGTCTTTCCACCTATTTTTGTGTTGCTGCAAATTTAGCTAAAGTCCATTGTCTTCCTTCCTCCAAGTCTTTAATAAACATTGTAAACAGTTGTGGTCCCAGCACTGATCCCTATGAGACTCCACTAGTCATGGATCATCAACCTGAAAAAGAATGTCTTATCTCCCACTGTTTTCTGCCCATGAGCTAATTCTCTATCCATGTCAATATGCTACCTCCAACACCATGGGCTTTTATCTTACGACTTGCCTTTTTTTGAGGTATCTTGTCCAACGCCTTCTGAAAGTCCAAATACAACACATTTACAGGTCCCTTTCTATCCACTTTGGTTGAGACTTCCTCAATAAACTCTAATGAAGTAGTCCGACAACTTCCCTTTCATGCAGCCATGTTGACTCTGCTTGATTAAGTTATGATTTTCCAAATGTTCTACTATTATTTGCTTAATAATTGTTTACAGTATTTTTCCGTCAATAGATGCTAGGCTAATTGATCTTTAGTTATCTGCTGTTTGCCTCCCTCCCTTTTTGAAGAGGTATGTCACATTAGCAGTTTTCCAATCCTCTGGTACTTTTCACAAATCCAATGATTTTTGGAAAAGTACAACCAATGCATCCACTATCTCTGTAGCTACCTCTTTTAGGATCCTAAGATGCAAGCCATCAGGGCCAGCGGACTTATCTGCCTTTAGCCCCTTTAGTTTGTTTAATACTGCTTCTTTAGTCATGGTACTTAATTTCTCTCCTGTATTCTTTAGTATTAATGGAATGTCCAAAGTATGTTCCACCACAAAGATTGGTACAAAATATGTTTAACTCCTCTGCCATTTCCTTGTTCCCCAAAACCATCTCCCCAGATTCATTTTCTAAGGGGCCCATATCCACTTTGACCTCTCTCTTCCTTTTTATATATTTAAAGAAGCTCTTTTGTCACTTTTAATATTCCTCTCTAGTTTGCCATTGCGGTTTATTATCTCTCTCTTTTACTATCTTTTTAGTCCTCCTTTGCTGGGTTCTGAATTTATTCCAGTCTATCACCGACTTTGGTTTCCTTAAATGTTTTTTCTTTCAACTTAATACTGTGCTTAACTTTCTAGGTTAGACACTTGGTTTATCCCACTCTTCGTATAATACGTTCCAGTGAGGAGGAAAGATTCTGAGTGATGATTTACCTCCTTAAAATGTCTGCTATTCCTTGCTTTGTGTCATTCCTGCAAGATTTTCACAGCTGTTTTCTCTGGATCATCTATTGCTTGATCTGTATGTTATTTCAACAGGTGAAGTTCAGGAGAGATCACTGAAAGCCTATTCCACTAGATTTCCATTATATAGCCTTAAAAATGTTGGATTATATCTTTAAGCAATGCAACCCTGACTTTCTAAGTCAAAAACACTACTTCCTTGATAGTAGAAGATACTGCTGCTGTCATGAGAGACATGATGGCTTTTGTTTTAACTCTAACAGACAATGCACTCGAGGCTCCCTGTTCATGTGGGCTGAACTTTTTATTTTTAAATTGTGGTGATCTTAGAAACTTTTGTTATCTTGAAAGAGGATCGCAGACAAATGAAATGAACTCTAACCTCTTGCTGGTCAACATTCTATTGACACAGATCTGTACAGTTATCTGTATTTTCAGAAATTGACGTTGTCCAGTGGTCTTCAATTGGTTTCAAAATATGTGCACTGAGATCTTGCAGATTTTGTTTGCAGATTGACACCATAGCTAACTAAGATGTGATTTTTGCCTCCAGCAGGGTATTTTCACCTGATGCTGAAATGCTATGCTTATGTTATCCCATTGGAAACTGGATGGGATATTGCAGTATTGAAGACAACAACAGACATTTATTACAACTAGCTATTCTATTGATCTAGTGGCACAAATTATTATGCGGGAAATACCCAGTTGATATTTGCATCAGACAAGTCAGATTCTCGACTGGAACCTGAGTGGATAGATTTTTTTTAAACCAAATTGATCTTTTACTGAAACACAAGTATGCAATGTGGCCATCTTTGTTGAAACAGTAAAAACTGTTACTAAACAACAATGAAGAAAAACCAGTGGAAAAATTCTATTACTTTGTAACACATTAAATGGTTTTTCAACACACAGTAACTTGGTACAGCTTACAGACATTGATGCCATTTCAAGAACATCCACTACAGCACTGCAGCGAGACTAAGCAGACTATTTTCAAGGGAGAGAAATTTTTGTTTGTTTTAATTTGATAGGCTTGAAGTGATCAAAGTTTCAACTCATCTGCTGAAAGTGTACACAACTCTTCCTTAATTATTATGCTCCTAATTTAGTTTCCTGCCAACACTGTACTATCCCTGGTGCAGCTATTTTTAAATTCCGAAAACATAACCACTTTTCCACTAACTGCATCCCAACACTTCAGTCTGAGACTAATAATAACCTGTTATTTAAGATAATTTCATTAAACTCCTTTTTGTTGGAATGCTGCTTAGCATGCTACTTCATTGAAAGATGAGTCAACCCTTTGGAGCTTGATATGTGCTTCTCTCTCAAATGACTTCTAGCTCAGAATTGATCAATCAGGCAAGTTATCTCCACAAGTCTTCTGGATAGTTCCCCAGGAACTCTGGTTAATTTTCTCCCACTTGTGCTTAAGGAATTGTAGTATTTCCCCCAAGAGCCAATTGTTAACAAACTCATACATCCAACATAGAACTCCAAGAACCCAAACCTGCAGAAACACCAAAACACTTATTATAAATGTGATTCATCACATTTATCTATAAGCTGTCACTTCCCATTAAGTTATATAGAGCAGCATGCTTCCTACAGCATGCCATGCTTTGTGATTCTTAGTGAGATGTATATGAGACTTCAATATCCTCAGGTCACATGCTATTTATAACAATTATATGATGAGTATATCTCTTGGTATACTAATTATGAGACATATGCATGTGGTATCTGAATAAAGGGGTTGGAGAGTAGTTAGGGCACCTGATTGAAAAAGTTGGTGGTGGTGAGGAGTAGGACAGCTGATCATGGGAAATTGATGAGGAATGGGTGGGTGTGTGTCATTAATGGTGGGGAGTGCAGCAGCTAATTTAGTGGGATGTAGGATGATAGTGCGGAACTGGCTGTGAGGGAGGTTGGTTGATAGTGGGGAGTGGCGGTGATGATTGAGATGGTGTACTGAGTGAAGACTGTGGGAAGGGGTGGTTAGTTTTGTCATGGGAGGTGTTTTTGGAGAGGTTCTTTGGAGTGGGTTGGGGAGCTGCATGCAACAAGGTCAAGGAGGCAGAATCTAAGTACAGTATTTAAATACGACAGGCATAGGTTTGTATTTGGGCAACTCTTTTGCGTCCTCTTGACTTCGTGGACGCTGTGAATCCAGTTCCCTGCGAACTCGCCGCCACCTGGTCCAATGTCCCTTTCTCTCTCCCCCACCCAGCATTAGTTACACTGACATAAATATTTCCCTTTTAACTTCCGGAATAAACCTTGCCACCTGTCGTAATGTGTTACTTCCTTGGAGTAGAGTCCCAACACATGTCAAACTCTTTTCACTTCATCAATGAGGAAGACAGTTTGGGACGTTCATTTCGGAAGGTTGTCGAGCTGTACCTGAACGTTTCGCGAGCGGTGGTAGTTCGTCACTTGACCGTACTGTCATTTCAGCTTCTTCACACTACCATCAGCTTCCAAGCAGTCGCCGAGTCAAAGGCAAAGGCCTCCGCCAGTACCGGAACACAGCTCAGATGGAGGGAGAGAGAGGGAGCCGTTCCCGCCACCCCCCTGACAGCGCGTGCTTCATCGCCCACGCGCGCCCAACGGCCGCACCGTATGCCCGCGCGGCAGAGCCCCCAGCGGTCAGCGCCGGCGCTTCCACTCTGATAAACGAGGCCAGTCTGGTGGTAGATGCTCGGAAACCCCCTCCTCATCACCACCCGCATCACTAATTCCAGCAACTAACTGCCTGCACCGCTCCACCTCCAGTTCCAGGCACTAATCATCCAGTCCTAACCAGAGATCCCCAACCCCAGCCATTGATCCGTCATCCCAGCTCCCGACCAAACTTATTCGAAGTAATTGATCCACAATTGCAGGCACTGATCATTAATCTCGATCACTGAAGCGCCCCCCAACCCAATTACTCTAACAAGGTGTAGAGCTGGATGCACACAGCAGGCCAAGCAGCATCAGAGGAGCAGGAAAGCTGACGTTTCGGGCGTAGACCCTTCTTCAGAATTTTTGAAGGATTTCTGAAGCAGGGTCTAGGCCCGAAATGTCAGCCTTTCTGCTCCTATGATGCTGCTTGGCCTGCTGTGTTCATCCAGCTCCACACCTTGTTATCTCAGATTCTCCAGCATCTGCAGTTCCTAGGATCTCTGAAACAATTACTCTTTTTTTCAAAAAGCAAAATACTGCACGTGTTTGAAATCTTAAATAAAATCAAGAAATATTGGAAACACAGTCATTTGATGAGCGAGAAATGCAACTCTAAATTAATCAGTAAGGGAAAAGGCAGAAAAAAGGAATTGAGGCATAACAAATCAGCCACGAACCTATCAAATACCGGAGTAGCCTCAATGGGCCGAAGGTCATACTTTGTTGTATGTCTTATGGTCTACCTTTCTTAAAAAAAATTCACACGCCTAAAGAGTTTGGCAAGATCTGATTGTCCTGAAACATCAACTGTTTCTTCAAAGAAATATTTTTGGTCTGCTGTTTCCAGGTTGAACTATTTATGATATATGTTCTTATTTCTCCAGTTAAAGTTAAAGTTAAAGAAAGCTAGGCAATTTAGAAGTAAAATGGAGTATTTTTTCCTAACAAAGTTAATGGAAATCTGGAACTTGTTCCTTAGAAGGCTGTGGATACTGACTTTTAGGAATGCAGTTGTCAGATTTTGTTGGAGAAGAATTTAAAAAGAGATGTACAACAAAAGACAGGTAAATAGGGTTCGAGGTAGAGCTCAACTGTGATTCAATTAAACGTTCAGTGGGGCTAAATAACCAACTCCTGTCAGAATCAGTACTGGGAGTACATTTTCCTTCTGAGTTTGGAATACTTCGTAGCCAATAACTTTCCTGATGTGCACTCATGGTTATGCACGGAAATGTGACATTGATTATGTAAGGCACAGTCACACAAACAGGAAATTAAATGAGTAACTAGATAATTTGTTGGTCACTTGAAAGCTGATGGAGATTTTCTTCTTTACATTGTGCGACGGGATCTTTTAAAGTCAGCTGAACAGGTAATCACACATTTGGTTGAACATCACATCTGTAAGATAGTGCACCGAACAGCCACTCTGGATCAAGTAGGTGGGTCAGCCTACCTTGATCACTACTGTTCTTATACGCAGATTCAGCAGGTTAAATGATTTCATTTTAAACTTTTAGTGTCTTTTTAAAAACATTTAGCCAAACTTGTTGAATATATGAATTTTCTGATTCAAAACAAGACTTGCCATCACTATTACAAAATTGAAAGTGCCTTATTTCTTTTTGAAGCATTTTCTTTAGACCAATACCACTGCATTCTCTTTGAATTTGTGAATAATAACAACAACAGAACAATCTGAAATTTGTAGTCCCAAGTCTATAGGTTGAAAACTATGGATGATGGAGTTAAAATTTAAATAAACTTTCAGAACATGAAGCTTTTTTTTTATTTGTTGACAGAAACTGGAACTTTAAATGGAACATTGCATCTATTTTGAAAATGAATATCTTCCTCAATCCTCGACAACAAGGTGCAGGGCTGGATGAACACAGCAGGCCAAGCAGCATCATAGGAGCAGAGAGGCTGATGTTTCGGGCCTAGACCCTTCATCAGAAAAGGGGGAGGGGAAGGGGGTTCTGAAATAAATAGGGAGAAAGTGGGAGGCGGATAGAAGATGGATAGAGGAGAGGATAGGTGGAGAGGAAACAAACAGGTCGAAGAGGCGGGGATGGGGCCAGTAAAGGTGAGTGTAGGTGGGGAGTTAGGGAGGGGATAGGTCAGTCCAGGGAAGACGGACAGGTCAAGGGGGCGGGATGAGGTTAGTCGGTAAGAGATGGAGGTGCGGCTTGAGGTGGGAGGAGGGGATAGGTGGGAGGAAGAACAGGTTAGGGAGGCAGGGACGAGCTGGACTGGTTTTGGGATGCGGTAGGGGGAGGGGAGATTTAGAAGCTTGTGAAATCCTGATGTTTACCTGGACCATCTCTAACACCTCTCTCCCCTTCCTGGACCTCTCTGTCTCCATATCGGGCAACCACCTAGAAACCAATATTCATTTCAAGCCCACCGACTCCCACAGCTACCTAGAATACTCCTCCTCCCACCCACCTTCCTGCAAAAATGCTATCCCCTATTCCCAATTCCTTCGCCTCCACCGCATCTGCTCCCAGGATGAGGCATTCCACTCCCGTACATCTCAGTTGTCCTCGTTTTTCAAGAACCGTAACTTCCCCCCCTCAGTGGTCGAGAACGCCCTCAACCGTGTCTCCCACACCTCCCGCACCTCATCCCTCACACCCCGTCCACGCAATAAGAACCAAAAAAGAATCCCCCTCGTCCTGACATATCACCCCACCAACCTCCGGATCCAACGCATCATCCTCCGACACTTCCGCCATCTGCAATCCGACCCCACCACTAAAGACATCTTTCCCTCCCCACCCTTATCTGCTTTCCGGAGGGACCACTCTCTCCGTGACTCCCTTGTCCACTCCACACTCCCCTCCAGCTCCACCACACCCGGCAGTTTTCCCTGCAACCGCAGAAAGTGCTACACCTGCCCCCATACCTCCTCCCTCACCCCCA